GAAGTAACAAAGACACATGTTTTGCTAGCAACCTCCATTTTTAAAGTCTTATCTGTTACAGTTATCGAAGGATTTTCCATAGGCATCAGTTAGACCTAGTGCTCTCGGTAATCAGCACCCAGTATATGAACTGTAACTCTGCAATACAAGCATGTGTGAGGACATTTGTGCTGAGGGGTGTGGCTGCTACTTGGCTATGCCAGCATAGAGCCCTGAAGGTGGATAGAAGGAAGTGCATTGTAAGGCATTTCCAAGTAAAAAGAAGTTAGCTATAACAACATCCAGCTGTATAGCTGTTCTGTTTTTTCTGAGTACAATTTTTTTAAATCTATGATTGGACCAGGTCAGTGATTCAGAAAGTATAAAATCCAAAGTCAGCCAAGCAGGTAGAATTTTCAAAAGCAATCAACAAAGACTGCACCCATATTTTACTTTTCTTAGTATCCCTGAGTATTTTCATAGCATGCAGATGCTGACTTTCATCTGTGAAGTCACTACTCCTCCTCCCCAAATCTAAACTTCTCTATTAGTTAGAGAGGTATGAAGGGAGAGTGGGGCAGAACTCAGATGTTTGGAGCTGGAAGTGGCAATTGTATACTAAGCATCCCAAGTTCAAGGGCTCCCAGGGTGCTCAGATTTAGTGGGTGAACAAGCGTGTTGTGACAGGACCAGTGGGTGTGCAAGGTGATATGCTGTCACACTGTTTAGTTTTAGTTGCTTTAGCACTGTTTAGTTGCTAAAAGAAATGCCAGTCACCGCATGTGCTCTGAACAAACTTTTCATCTATCTACACACAGTTTTGTCTGTGAAGGTTCTCATTCATCCAGGTCATGGCATATCTGTAAAAAATAAGTCAAGGCAACTGGAGAGGTGTTAAAACAGCATTGTATGCAGCAGACAATAGATGTCTCATCCCCCGCCTCTATTCAAGCTTGGCTTCTCCATTTTTACATAAATGGCCTCTTTCACATCTCTTTTGAACCAGTCCTCCTCCCTGTCTAGGATGTGTACTTGACTGTCTTCAAAGGAGTGACCTTTTTCCTTTAGGTGTACACTGCTAAATCCTGACCAGAAGGTTTGGCTCTTCTATGCCGTGCCATACGCTGGTGTAGCCGCTGCTTTGTTTTACCGACATACAATTCTGAGCACTCCTCACTGGACTGGACGACTGCATACATAATGTTGTTCATCTTGTGTTTTGGGGTCTTTTGGGTGAACCAGTTGTTGCCCAGTGTATTGCTGGGTTTAAAGCAGACAGGGATGTGATGTTTTTTAAAAACCCTTCTGAGTTTCTCAGACACCCCAGCTACATATGGGATGACCAAATTCTTCTGTTTGTCATGCTTTTCACCCTCACTGGTACTCTTGGCATTCTTTCCTCTTCTTTCTGGATACCTGCAAGTTTTAAGGGCCCAGGGTATCCAGGCTGGGCTTTTGTCAAAACAGAAAGAAGAGGGAAGAATGCCAAGAATACCAGTAAGGGTAAAAATGACCTTACCTTGTAAGGTAATTAAAAGCTTCTACGATCTGCCCATCTTGACAAGCAGATCGTACCGCTGAGGGGCGGGCTTCCGATGACTGCAATGCTGAGCGGGCAGTGTGCGCTTTTTACGCACCGGCCCGTTCCGCATTTGTCTTTCGAGCACGCCACTAACCTACCGAAAATCTTATGATTTTCGGCAGGTTTTCCAGCGTGCTCGGAAGACAAAAGACGTGCGACCGCACAGTAGAAACGGTTGCACGCCTTCCATACACCTGCCGATTTTCGTACGCTCGCAGGATCACCTGCGATCGTACGATAGTCGGCAGGTGCATTGGCACCTTTTTAGAGGAAATGTGTGAATGCTCACCTGTCACCACACCCTCTCTGATAGCTGCTAATCAGCAGACCTTTCCTATAAAGCACTGCTGGTCAGAGAGCACAGTGCTCAGGTATTAGTGAGCTTCCCAGAGTTCAGACCTGTGTTCCTGACTCCTCAGCATTCAGACCCTTGTTCCTGTATTCCTGATTCCTGCTTGTTTATCATTTCTGAACCGCAGCTGTCCGCACTGACCTTTTGCTTATATAACCGCATGAGAACCTCCTCCGCATGCATCGACCTTGGACTGTTATTTGACTACGAAAACTGGACTTCCCTTATCGGCTTAACGCTATCAATTCCTGGCACATCCACTCCATGTGTGTTCATCCCTCGCAATTGGGCTCCATACATATATATTACCTGCAAGTTCCTGACAGTGTCAAAGACAGCTACTGCCAGGTCCCTGGAAGGCTGCCTCAGGCTCCCACAAGTGCGGGACCTCAGCAGCCGACCCAATTAAAAAACTTAAAGGGCCGGTATTGGCCTTTAGTATCGGGGCATTTTCAGGAGTACAAGTATTCCTGAAAATGCCCTGTATCGGTACTGGTATCGGTATCGATACTGGTATCGGTATCAGGACATTCCTACTTAGTATATTTTCTTTTCAGATTGAATGTAATGTAATACTGCATTTTGGCCACTAGATGGAGGTGAGGAGCATACAAAATATTTTTTATGCTGCTCAGCTCCATCTTGTGGCTGTTTTGCGGTATCACATTACATTCAACCTGAAATAAAAATCTATACTAAGAATGTTAATTTTTGCGTATATTTACACAGAGCAAACATTCTCAGAGAATTGTTGGGTGAATTGGTTACAAATAGACACCCTTAATAACTGTTGACAAATTTGATCTAGCACCTCTAAGTTGAATACACTTGTTTGCTTAGTTTACACACCTCTATTGGGCACAGCAATGCCCTTGTTTTTAAATTCTTGGGTAATGCTTCTGCACATAAACGCTGCTGCCTCAATTCATTCCTATTGAAAGGCTGTGTACCACACAACCCTTAGCGAAAGAATATGGGCTGTATTTACAGAGCAGTGAATGTGACATTCATCAGTCTCCGCAAGTTTATCTTTCTGGTGCAAATGCTTTACATTGCATTCATTGATTTCACCTGCAGAGAACGTTTGATAAATGTCACATTTACTGATTTTATAAATATATTCCTTGGTGAACAATTGCGCCTGCTGCATTATCTGACTTTTATAGTAGACCCTGAACTACTGCTGCTCTTGTTACTTCTTATGTGATACGTGTCCAGGTTCAGTCAACATCTGCTAGTTTCATTATGTGACTTTATAAGCAGCTGTGTCGGTTTTTATGAAGCTGATTGCTGGTTAATTTTCTTGTTGATTAGTCATCGTTAACTGGGAACTTTAAAGTGACATTAAACCCTCAGATTTTTTAACATAAACCAATACTGTAATGTGCGCCTTACTGTAATCCATGGTAGTTTCCCTTCTCTTTGCTGCTCTTCCTTTTAAATCCTCATGTCTTCTTGCTTGGGGAGAACTTCCCTTTGCAGCTGAGTGCCTCTTCCTGTAGTGCTGGCTCAGGTTGCAAACCTACACACAGACACCATGTATCCATTTCAGAGACGAGGCAGTCTGCTGCAAAACAGAAGTTCTGCAGAGCATGAGAACAGATACAGATTTAAAAGGAAGAGAAGGGAAACAACCATGGATTATAGTAAGGCACACATTACAGTATTGTTTTATATTAATAAATCTGAGGGTTTAATGTCACTTTAAGTTTGGAAATCATTGTAATATGTGATGCACATTGAGGGCCAGTTCACACCATAAAGAGTTTGTTCCAGAGTGTTCGGCCTCTGGAACACACTCTTTATGGTGTGAACCGACCCTTAAGGATATACCAGAGTACATTGGTAGTCCAGTTCATGAGCTTGACATACTAGAGTGTGTATATAATGTAGTATGAAGGCTCAAGAGGTGTAGTAGGAATGACTATTTCCAATTTGTTTGACGCGCCTAAGGCTAAACAATTTCAACCTGTTGAAAAAACTATTTGAAGGATGCTAATCCCTTTTATTTTTCTCTTAGAAAAGTTAAAAAGAGAGGACATGCATCCTGTGGAAGTGAAATTCTAGGCATTTTTGTTAATAGAGCGGGTGAAAGGTTAGAACCCCCGTCTGGTTAATATTGCTGTCTGTGTCTCCTCTCTGCAGATTTGACCTGACATTCTTAGTGGCCACCATGGCAGGAAGTAAAGGGAGGTTACCCCAGTGAGGAAACGGATGGCAATGAAAACCTGTTAGAGTTTATAACCCTTGACAGCTTTATCCAGATTGAATAGGTTCTCCTTCAACATTGTGGTAGGGACAGGCTGATATCTTATGTCTGTAATCGCTATAGTCTCCTTATTATATGTGCACAGGAGGTTAAAACTGATCAAGAAGCTGACAAAGACATGCTGGAAGATTAATTGGCTTCTGTCTAAATTATCCCTGTATGTATGCATGTGATATAGGGCCTTAGATTGTAAGCTCCTCGAGGGCAGAGACTGATGTGAATGTGTATGTAAATAGCCAGCTTGGGCGAACTCAGGTGAACTGGGTTCACCCCAAGCCCATGCTCATCACTAGTTGCAACAAGAAAGAAATGACCCATCTGAGAGTGTATTGATTGGATATTGGTTCTGTGACCCACTTTTCGATGATAGGGCAATCTTTAAGTGGAACTACAACCTCCTATCCTAAACAGCCAAGGAAGGTGCCATCTTCGCTTCCGTTTGGATTGCATTTGCCATGGTGCTGCACATGTGATCAGTTATGACACCAGCAATTTGAAGCCTTGAAAGTTTGGTTCGAAGCTGAAATAAGCACACTGGCAGCCTTGACAGTTGACATGCCTTAAAACTAACTGATTCCAAAGACATTTAAACTGTTTTGTCCGGTTCCTCTGTAAGATATTATTTTTTAGTGAAGGCAGCCGGGGATCTTTACTGCATATATGCGTGATTTTGTTTACTGATGCACATTATAAGCTGATTTGATAGAGATTTTGAAATTGATTTTTGTTTTATTTTGGCTGTGTCTGATATCTTATGATCTAGCTAAGATCATATTTAGCCTTGTACTAATTGTGAATCTCATTCTTCTTCTATATAGCGGTCAAACGACTTATGAAAGAAGCTGCAGAATTGAAGGATGCCACAGATCATTACCATGCCCAACCACTAGAGGTACAGTATCATCGCATTGCTTTTCTAGCATTTTAACATTGGGAGTCAGTGTGCAACACAATGTGAACATACTATGTAAACGCTGGCTTATATTCTCTCAGTAATTATATGACATAACTAGGACATCATTCGGTGAATATTGCCAGATTAACAAAAAAATGTTCTGCATGTTCTCGTCAGCCAATATGGATATGTGTGCTAGGAAAACATGAATGAATCAAAATGATTGCATCATTTAACTGAGCTGTCATTAAGTCCTTTGTATTTTTCTGGCATTGTCAGGGGAAAGGCATTGCCATGGGAGGTTTGTTCTGCATGTGCCAAAGACAAATAGAGATTGCTGGAACATCGAGTAAATAGCCTCTTAGTAGGTCCTTAGCAGAATCTTGAACTGAACTGTAATTACTTAATTATCCATTTACAAACTTACTTTTTTTTTTTTTTACAAGTCAAAAACAAAGCTATTTAAATTCAATTGCTGATCTCCAGCTTGTAATCTTAGAAGCATGTTATGTTTTTTAAAATTAAACTTTGATGATGAAGGGCCTGTTAGCGGGGGGCATGTGGAATGATCAAATGGAACCTCTCCTCCATGCCTTGTAGGGGTGGTCCATTTACTCTCTTGATCCTTTCAGGCCTTTGCTGGTCACCTGCATCACCCGATCTTAATCGGGTGAGCTGACCTCAGCTATAAGCCTACCCTGATATACATACATTAGGTGGGACTATCCCACCCAATGGGTATGCATACAGAACGCTATTGCTTCCAAGTTCTTAAAATGAAGCCCAGCATTCTTTCCTTCTGGTTAGCTGTTTACCTATGTAGTAAGTCTACTTGGATGTGCCATGGTACTCTAGGCCCTGTCATCTCTGCCCCCTTCCCTACCTGCCTCTGGTATTAATACAACTCTTAACACAACCACAGAAATGTGCACATGGCCTACCATGTGGTCTAGGTGGGATTATCCCACCCAATGAGTATCCATACAGAACACAATCGCCTCTAAATATACTTAATGAAGCTCAACATTCTTTCCATCTGGTTTTGCATTATAAAGTAAGCCCAACAAAAACCTAAAAGATCAAGCATATCATTTAGGTGGCTAAAATTATATTTGAAGCTAGTTCTGTAAATGCTGAATTTGGCTGCACCCCCTTCCCACAACCCAGACATAGCATATTGATACCCTAAAGTGAGGGTTGGCCCTATTGACCAGGAGGGGATGGAGCCAAATTCAACTTTTCTTCTTTTTTTTTTTTTTTTAAATAAAAAATTTGCATTTCAGCTGCCTATATGTTTGGTCGTTTTTGCATGCAGTTTAAACCTGGAGGTAAACTCTGCTTATGTGTTTTGTTCATCAAATGCTCAGGTAAAATAGCCTAGGTTTGAGACTGGCTTGCCCTAATGTGTGTGTGCTCACCTTAATTCCCCGGGATCCCCAAACTCTTGCATGCTGTGTTATGCACTTTACTTTGATACTTATGTCAGCAATAAAATCAAACTATTGTAAGTGGTTTGGAGCCATATGTCTGACGAAACCTTGGTGTTTTTTTTGCAGGATAATCTGTTTGAATGGCACTTTACTGTTCGAGGCCCCCCAGATTCTGATTTTGATGGTGGCATCTACCACGGCAGAATTGTTCTCCCTCCAGAGTATCCCATGAAACCCCCAAGTATCATTTTGTTAACGGTAATTGCATCTCTGTTTCTTTGTGTTGGCTGAATTCTGGCTTCTCTTCCTGGAAAGTTTATCTTGCCTCATTTTATTTTCCCAGGCTAATGGTAGGTTTGAAGTTGGAAAGAAAATTTGCTTAAGTATTTCTGGTCATCACCCTGAAACATGGCAGCCATCCTGGAGTAGTGAGTACTTTTTATTCACTTAAATGGCACATGACTGTCTTGGGCAGGGGTGGGCAACTCTGGCCCTCTAGTTATTGTGGAACTACAAGTCCAATAAGGCATTGCAAGACTGAATTTTACAGGCATGACTCGCAGAGGCATGTTGGGATTTGCAGTTAAAGCACAGCTGGAGGGCCAGAGCTGCCCACCTCTGGTCTAGGGAGATCATTAAATTACTTTTTTGCTTACATTATAAAATCCTACCTAGATTGTTTGGTTGACTTGTAATTTAAATGTATTCCCTTAAACTTAGACCTATACTATATTGTAAGGGGATGATTTATAAATCATCCGCCCAGCCATACATACACTGGCCAATTGGTGTTCTCACCACTGGATGGAGCTGAGGAGCATAGTCTGCTTTTATCTAATGGAACGAATGCCATGCAAATGGCATTGGGCCACTGTATAGCTGGGTGGATGATTTATAATAAGTTTTGTTAATAGTGTTTTTTTTGGATGCTTAAAGAGAAATGAAAGGGTCGAAATATTTGGCTTTTCTGGAAATATTGCTGCTCTGGATTCCCTCCTGTGCTCTTGGAAAGGATGGGTTTGTAATGCTCCTTCAATCCAAGTATGAACCTGCAAAGACCTGCCAGATGTGTGTTTTCAAAGGTTGCACTGTATATGACTTGTAAAACTGGCTGTAAAATGACCTATTTTGCCTTACAATTATTTAAATTGTGTGAGCGTCTATGAAGAGCTATGTAGAAAATGTATACTTAATTATGTAACGTGTGTGTGTGTTTTTCTTTGTTTGGGTATGTTTTTTTTTGCACATTCGGGTTTTATGGATACAGATATTATCTTTTACATGCTATGTTATATAAAGTCATACTAACATGTTATGTTTTAGAAACCTATTACATGATGGGTAGGATGCATTTTTAATATTTCTGTCATATCTGTCTCACCTTACCCTGTGGTGCATATCCATCTCTATAATAAGTGTCATATGCATTAAGATCTTTTGAAGGATGTATGTACCTTCTAATTTGAGTACCACAACAGCAGTGGCAAGGGAATTTATTAGGAAATAAATTTCAGGTAGATATTTTCCCTATTTGTCTTTTATCTTCGTACTGCTAAATTAGAACGACTAAGGACCTTACACTGACTATGGTTTTGTTTTGTTTTTTGACACTTTTCAGTACGAACTGCATTGTTGGCTATTATTGGGTTCATGCCTACCAAAGGTGAAGGTGCCATAGGTTCTCTGGATTACACACCTGAAGAAAGGAAAGCACTTGCCAAAAAGTAAGTCAGTGTGTATCTGCTGTTTTGTATTATGTCCATCAGTGTGAGAAACATGCAATTTTTTTCCATCTCAAACTACCACTGAGTTCCCAGTTTTGTGGAGTGAAAAGAAAATCCCCTTTTAGGCAAACTTTGTATATTGCATGCATTTGAAGGATCACAATACTTTTTAGTTTCATCATCCTTTTAAAGGGCCCTTCTCCAGGTGTTGCACTTTCCTATCTTCACTCCATGGAAATCTTGTGTGGCCTCCTGAGAGCTGCATAGCTTCTACTTTCAGTCTCCTGGCTGGGCTCTTGTTCTCCACAGACACCTCGCAATCTGCATACATTCCTATGGTAAGGCCATCCACTGTAACAGACCATTGTATTATTATTAACAGGTCTCAGGACTACTTTTGTGACGCATGTGGAACAAGCATGAAGACTGCTTTACTCCCTCTAAGTTCAGAATCCAGCCAAGATGACAGAGAAGCCAGAGAACTTGCAAGACAGATCAATTTTACGGTACATGAGCCATGACTTTGTTTTTAATTTTGCTCTTAGTGTACAGTTCTGCTTCTCTTTTCCTGGGCTGGGGTCGAAAGACATTTTACGTTTTTATGGTTCTAAGGTTAAGCAAAAGGAATGCAAGTGCTTCATTCCACCAGGAGAGGCAGTGCCTGTGTCCGAAAGAATGTTCTAAAACACAGCAATTTTTATAAAACCCTTCATCAGAGGGAATAAGGCCTCATGCACATGGGCGGCTGAACCTGTACAAGGTATATTCGTAATTTCCCTGCCAGGGAGCCACATGTGCTGCTTGCACCCTCCCATCAATGGCTGAATGCGGGTATATGCCGTACAGGCGCACAACCCAGAACACACGCTGGTGAAAGGAGGTTTATCTCCAGTTTTCAGCTGCAGTCTTCCATTCCGCCCCCCCCCCCTTCCTTCTTTGCCTTACCCTCCTTAATGGTAGGGCATTTGTCCTTCTTTTCCCCCTGTCCCTTACTTTTTATGGGCAAGAAGAGTCTTGGCCTACTCCCCTTTCATTGCCTGGGGAGGGCCAGTACTGGGTAGTCACGTACCACCTTTGTAGACTTGCCTGGACTGGTGTGGTTCCCGTCAGGCAGCAGTAAGAGAGTCTCTACCTGTGATGCGCCAAGTTGAATTCAGTTGACACTAGGCGCCAAGTCTGCTAGGGGGTAATGTCACTGCCTGGGTGCTGCAGCGCAGAAGTAAGTGGGCGGGAAGGTTATCTGCATGCCGAAAAGACATCTATTTATCTATCCACACATACATAAAGGATGCTGTTGTATCTATGCAAAGCACGCAACCTACTATTTCTTCTTTGATACAGGCTATAGCCAGCACCTAACCTATAAGCACTTAATTTCTCCTTCGCTTATGACTCTGTTAGTCCATGTGGGAACTAGTTAATTGTCCTTTTTGTGGGTGTTGGGAATCTGGAGTTTGGCTAGCCACATACCTTGTGCAGTATCATATTCTGGATATACTTCTTTTTTCTGCAGTATCAAAAACATTTTTTACTCAAACTAGTTCAGCTCAACAGTTCAATGTAAAAATTATTATGTGGAAATTGATGCATCGTTTTTATGATCCGATTGTCTGACGGGTCATTGGGTTTTGGTGAATATACACTTGTGATTATACTCACATTAAACATCTGAGGTGCAGCAACTTTAGGTGTGTGTGTGTGTGTGTGTGTGTGTCTTTACTATCCTGTCTTCTGGTTGGCAAAAGTGGCCTTTTTGTGTCTGTGGATAATTCCTACTATTGCTAACTACACAAGGGAATTGGCAGATTTGGGTGGACTTGACCTTTTATTTTCTAGCCTGAGTTTAATACTGACCTATTTTATCAGTACCTTTTTTTTAGACATTTTCCAAACACAAATGACCTTTGACTTGTGGCAATATATTATAACTGTTTGTTTTCTCTTTCATGATGATCTACAGGTAAATCCTCCTGGAAGTTCTCAAGCAGAAGGAAGTGGCACCACACAGAAACCAAAACCACCTGAAACAGAGCAGACTGCTGACACAGTGCCTCTGGTATTCCCTTAATTTTATACAGCTGTTGTTGATCCAGGGGGAGGGGTTTGGGGGCTTATCTATAGCACCTAGGGGCCTCTGAAGAATATGGTCTCTAACTTCAGTCTAAAGGTGCCCATACACTGCTCGATTCTCGTACGAGAATCGCGGGAAATCCCGCGATCGTACGAGAATACATCGCAAGACTAAGGTCTTGCGATGGTTGTACAGTGTATGGCCACCTTAACAGAGCTCCCATCTTGGGAAAATACAGTCATGTGAACAATTAAGTACACCCCTTGAAAACTGTTGACTCTTCAACATACAACCCCAATTCCATAAAAGTTGGGACACTGGCTAAAATCTACAAGAAAGGAATGCAATGATTTGTAAATCTCATAAACCCATATCTTATTCACAATTGTAAATGGAAAACATATAACATGTTTAAACTGAGAAAATTGAACATTTTAAGAAAATAAATAAGGTAATTTTGGAATTGATGGCAGCAACGCGTCTCGAAAAAGTCGAGACAATTAAAAGCTGGCAAAATAATTGGTACTAACAAGGAAGAACATTTTGCAACTAATTAGGTTAATTGACAATAGGTCAGTAACATGATTGGGTATAAAAAGAGCATCTTAGAGTCAGTGTGTTAAGGTGCCCATACACTGTACGATTTATTGTACGAGAATCGCGTGAAATCCCGCGAACATACGATAATCGCAAAGTGTATGGAAGGCGTGCAACCGTTTTTACTGTACGGTCGCACGTCTTCCGTCGAACAAGCAGGCTAGAAAACCCGCTGGGAATCGTACGATTCTCGGCGAGTTAGTGGCCTGCTTGTTCGACAACTGCCGAACGGGCCGCACACACTGCACGTTTGCAGCGATGATCACAAGTACGTTTTTTTTAAATTACTTTACAACCCTCGCAAGACAAAAGTCTTGCGAGGGTTGTAAAGTGTATGGCCACCTTTCAGAAGTAAAGATGGGCAGAGGTTCTTCAATCTGTGAAAAGCTGCATCTAAAAATTGTCGTACAATTTTAGAATAATGTCCCTTAACATAAAATTGCAAAGGCTTTACTATATTATCATCTACAGTACATATCATTAAAATATATATATATAAATGTGTGTGCACACACACACACACACACACACACACACACACAGTGTGTATATAGGCAACTAGATTTTATCAAGACTATATACGGCTTTGCTTCCTGCTTTGCTGTGCTACCAAATGGTTGTACTTTACTACTCCGCACAAAACATATCAAAGATGCATTAAAGAAGAAATCCGGAAATTTTATAAACTTTCCCTTGCAGTGGGGCTACTCCTGTGCTGCAAGGGTTATGTGCTTGTCTCTATGTAGGGGATGGAATGTTCAATCCTGCCAAGCTGATGCTCAATCCTGCCAAGCTGCTAGACAGGTCCCCACAGCTTCTTCTCCCCTTGGCTCCCCATCGGTCTAAGGTCCGCTGACGTCATCATGTCTAATGCAGATCTATTGACTTGCATTAGACATGAAGATGCTGAAGGACATTCCACAGCTGGAGTGGAGGGGGAGAGAGGTGGGTGCTGACTGCTGCGGGACTGAGGATCAGTTGAGTATATCTGCTTTATTCTATCCCCTAGAGAAAAATGAGCACTTAACCCTTTGCAGTGTGGGAGTAGCCCCACTGCAAGGGAAGTTTTTTTTTTTTTAAATGCCTTGAATTCTTCTTTAAAGAACACATTTTCCAACTTAGAAGTGTAAACTGCATAACGCTCTTGTCAGTTCAAGGCTTTCAGTGCTTGCATTGACAGGTGTACACTGGGCAAGGGGGTGGAAAGGTAAATAGATTTGGTTTGAGTTTGACACACAAATTCGGTCTAACTCATTATTCCAAACATTTTAGCCAGTAGCTTGTGTTGTCATCAAGTTATCATTTTTGAGCTCTAGCAATGTCCCTTTTGAAATGATAACCTCAGTGCTCACTTTTGGAATGGATAGAGGGTGCCATAAACTTCTTTCATTGTAACTTTATACATATGAATTTCTGATCGTGATGCTTCCAGAATTGTTACTACTACTGGGTGGTTGAAACAAGCCATTTGTATAAACCTCTCAGCCTTTAATGTGACCCTGTTGTCAGGTATAAAATAAATAGCAGCAATCCCCTATAAAAGATGATCATGCTGACGTGCGTTCTAGTTGAACAATTAGTTTTCCGTTCAAAATCATGTAGTTTTATTTGACGTTTGACAAGAGAGGTACAAAACTCACCTTAATAGGACATTCTGTGTCCAAAGCAGGCCAAAAAGCCTATATCCTGCCATGCGTACAGCCCTGTTAAAGTCCATGGCATTTTGCTGACCTGTGTTTTTTGTTTTTCTTGCACCTAAATGAGCATAGGCATGAGCCCTTATACTTTCCTTTCTGGTGACTGGTGAGTTGAAACTTCACACTCTTGAAGGGCTCCAGGGACTATTGCAAGTGTCCAATACTGGGCGCCGTGGTTCCTCCTGTTATCGTCAAGTAACTAAATGATGCAAGACACCAATCATGGTAATCATAGGGAAAGTTTGTTCCTGCTGCCACCTACATTGTATTTTCTGCAGCAGCTTCATTTGTGAGGAGAGAAGGAGATCTGTGTAACCGACAGTCATACAGTAATGAAATATAGTGTAGAATTTAAAAAAACGAAATTAACAAAGCTATTGAAAAATCAGAAACTAAAATATTATGTGAATAAGATGATGCTTTATTATGACACATTTATTTGTAATCCCATTAACTAGAACCATTGAACTTCGAGCCAAGTACTGGAAAATGCCTAATATCTAGACATCTAAAATATATGCCCTTGTTTATTGACCATAGGTCTGATGCTTGTATCAAAACCGAAGTATATTTTAGGTCCTTGTAGTCAGGACAAATTTTGTCTACCGGCCAGCACAGTGACAGATAATATGTAAAGTGCTGTGTAAATTGGCAGCACTATATAAATACCTGTAACAAATTAAATAACATGTTATATTCCGTATTTAAAAAAAAAATATGCCACAGAAATGACATTTGCTGAAAAAGGTTTAAAAAAAAAAGATATTTTGATATGCAAAAAATATCGAGT